CTAGCACAGTGGTCCTCAACCTTTGGAAATGTCTGGAAACATTTTTCTCACCTGAGGAGTGGGATTTCCTACTGGCGTCTAGTGGGTGGAGACCAGAGATGCTGCTACACATTCCATAGTACACAAGACAGACCCCGTAGCAATGCACAGTCTCGCCCCCAAAGTCAGCGGGGCAGAGATTGAGGTCAGGTTTTGTGTAAAGTGAGCGTGTAGTACATTTCAGTTGTTAATGGGAGACGTAACACATCTTTATTCACATGTTATTACTTATTTGTCAGATGTTTATAAAACATCTGCTACATTCTTGGCAGTTTAATAGAATCTGGAGATACAAAGAAGTTCCTGACCACAGAGTTCATTGCCTCACAGGCAAGATATGAAAGCACAGAATTATATAAGACAAAATTACATTATACCATAAAGCATATTGTATAGTACACTTACCGTGGTGGGCTCTTGGTATAAAAAAAGTCTCCAGTCTCAGAGGTCATGGGATAGTGGGCAAGACATGAAAACCTCGCATAATATAAAGTGGTGTTACCTTTCAGTGCTGAAATTAAGGCATAACCAGCGTTTCATGGGAACCAAAACATCAGTCATTTAGAAGTATAGGTCAAGCCTGCACACAAGAGGAACCATTTGAGCCAGATGTTGCCAGAGTGGGATTGTCCCAGCGAGCAGGATGTGGAGGGTTAAGATGTTATCTTAGTCTGTTTTGTGCTGTTATTACTACCAAGCAGGTAATTTACAAGAAGCAGAAGTTTACTTGACTCACAGTTCTGGAGGCTGGGATGTCCAAGATCTAGAGACCACATCGGATGAGGGGCTTCTTACTGTGGCATCTTATGGTGGACCGAAGAAGGGCAAGGTGGAGAGAGAGAGCAGGAAGGAGCTTAATTGTCCTTTTATTAGGCACTCACTCCCATAATAATGGCGTTAACCCGTGCATTAGAACAGAGCTTCATGGCCTTCTCTCTCTTAAGAGGCCCCACCTCACAACATTGTTACATTTGGGGTCAAGTTCCCAGCACATGAACTTTGAGGGACACATTCAAACCACAGCATTCTACCCCAGTTCCCAAAATTTGTGTCCTTGTCACATGAAGGATACATTTGCTTCATACCTATAATCCCAAATTCTTAATTTGTTTCAGCAGCATATTAAAAGTCCGAAGCCCACAGTCTCATCTAAGTCAGCTATGGGTAAAACTCAAGGCATGATTAAATTCCCTTCCGGTCATGGGCTGTGAAATCAAGCAAATTGTCTACTTCCAAAGTACAATGGTGGGACAGGCAGAGGACAGACATTCCATTTACAAATGGGAGAGATCAGCAAGAAGAAAGGGGCAACTGGTCCAAACGACTCCAAAGCCCAGCAGGGGGAACAATACTAAATCTCAAGTCCTGACGACAATCGTCTTTGACTCCATGTTCTGCCTTCCAGACACACTCCGGTAGGGACATGGGTCCCCCAGGCCTCTGCAGCCCTGTTCCCTGGCTTTGCTGGGCTCAGTCCATGCAGCAGCTCTCACGGGTTGGAGTCTCGTGCCTGCAGCTCTCCCAGGTTGCCGTTGCTCACTGGTAGCTCTGCAGTTCTGGATTGTCAGGACGGCCTTACTCCTACAGCTCCACTAGGCTTCCTGGGGACTCTGAGCAGCTCTGACCCCACAGTTCTGCTGGGCATTGCCCTAGGAGGGGCTCCCTGGTGGTGGCTCTGCCCCTGTAACATCTCTGCCTGGGTCTCCAGGCTGTCCACAATATCCTTGGGAATCTAGTTGGAGGGAGCCAGGCCCACAGCTCCTGCGTTCTGTACTCCTGTGGCATTAGGACCACGTGGATGCCACCAAGACTTACCATTTGCACCTTCCAGAGTGGGAGGTCACACTGCACCTGGGTCCATTCGAGCCGTGGCTGGGGAGACTGAGTAACACTGTGCCCAAATGTGGGAGCAGTGACTTGAGGTGGCCCTGGACAGTGAGCCACAGGTCCTGAGGGCTCCCAAGACCTGGGTTTTGAAATAGTTCCTTCCCTCAGGTTTTGGCACGCTAGGGCTGTGGTCACAGGTCATCCCTGCAGTGCCTTTGGGGTCAGGCATTGTCTTGAAGATAGCCTCCAGCTTCATTCTTATTGTACTAATCTCCCTGTCAAACTGTGGCTCTGGCCAATACCAATCTCCTTCTCAAGTGGTTCATACTAATATTCTTAACAAACTATCAAACGGTAACTTGCCTGCACCCTTGCTTTCCTCTCCTGAAAATTCTTTCATTCTTGACTACGGGGCCAGTCTCAGAGTCCTTCCTGTCTAAGTTCCATTTCACTTTTCATTATAAATTTATTTTCTTTCTTTTTTTTTTTTTTGAGATGGAGTCTCACTCTGTTGCCCAGGCTGGAGTTCAATCTGTTTACTGCAATCTCTGTCTCCCAGGTTCAAGCCATTCTCCTGCCTCAGCCTCTGTAATAGCTGGGATTACAGGCATATGCCACCATGCCCAGCTAATTTTTTTGTATTTTTAGTAGAGATGAGTTTTCATCATGTCAGCCAGGCTGGTCTTGAACTCCTGACCTCAAATGATCTGCCCGCCTCAGCCTCCCAAAGTGCTGAGATTACAGATGGGAGCCACTGTACCTCGCCATGCTTTTCATTATGAATTTCATCTTTAAATCATTTCTTTCTTCTCAAATTTTACTGTATACAGTTAAAAGAGGTCATAGAGCAACCCAAATGCTTTGCTGCTTAGATATTTCCTCTACTAAATAGCCTAGTTTATCACTCTTAAGTTCTGCCTTCTATACAGTTTTAGGACCTGGACACAATGTAGCCACATTCTTTGCTGCTTTATAACAAAGATGACTGTTATGCCGTTTTCTAGGACCTTGTTCCTCAGTTATGTCTGAGACTTCATCAGAATGGCCTTTACCGTCCATATTCCCACCACCATTCTGATCACAACCACTTAGGTCATCTCTAAGAAGTTTCAGACTTTCCCTATAG